TATACTCAAGCAGAATATATTCATGTGCACACAAAAGCATATATAAACAGATTTGTCTGTAGTAATGTCAACACAGAATCATAACGCTGATTAGACTAATGTGGAGTAGATAATCAGTTTTGTTTTTTTGACAAGGGTTTGAGTAGCTCAAGATGGCTTCAATTTCACTCTGTAGCTAAGGATGACCTTAAACTCTTGATCCTCCTGCATCCACCTCTTAAATTATGGGACTACATTCCACCTGGCTCTAAAAGCCTTTCATAGTTTGGTTGCCTACCAGAACTTGATGCACACACTTGTCACAGGACATGGAGAAATCAAGTTGGTACTGACTAAGAAGCTTCCTCCCTGCTGTTTAACCTTAACCATACTAAAAGATACTCTGCAGGCTGCTGTGGGGGAAAGTCTTTAATAGTATTACTCAGCTGTGAGCCCCGTGAACTGCAATACCGAGCAGGGTGGTAAGCTATGCCCAAGGTGCAGTAGTGCTGCAAATGTTCTGAGGTAGCCAGTCACTTACTGGCTGAACTTAAGCCCATTCCACAGGAGGCAACACATACCTTTTTCTGTAAATATGGCCAAGATCTCTTGATTGGGGAGCTCACAGAACCCAGGGGCAGAGCTACTGTTATTATTTTGCTAAAAGGACACAGCCTAACTGCCCTCTAAATTTGTGTCTTTCTACTCATAAGTTAGTGCAGCTCTTAGAACTCATCAGAGAACTATTCTTGTGTGCAGTGGACAGTGATTGCTGGAGTGCCCAGCCACAAGTGTAGCATCCATATCACCCCATCTCCAAAGCTCAGGTACTATCTCAGAAAGAGCTAGAAGTCAGGGAGGACCGGGGTGAAACAGCATCTTTTGGCATGACAAGATGCTGCACTCAATGTCTCACAGCAGCCATGTCACTTGCATAAGACCTGTACAAGATCATGCCTAGGCCACATTCTGTCATGGACTGGGGAGGAGTTTATGGCCTCCACCCTTAGCTGAGGACCTATGACAGTTGATAGCTTCTGGGATAGAAGTGAGTCAGTTTTATTTAGGGGTGTAGCTCTTTGTAAGTCAATCCACACTCAGAAGTATATGGACAGAACAAATTAGAGTCAATGCATTATGAAGAAGAAGGAGGAAGAAGAGGAGGAAGAGGAGGAGGAGGACAATGACAAGAAGCTGGGGAGGAAGTAGGGAGGTGGGAAAGTTAGAAGAAGGAACTGGGGGTGAATATGATCAAAATACAGTATATGAAATTCTCAAAGAACTGATAAAAGTATTTTCTTAAAAAACAAACAAACAAACAAACAAACAAACACCTCCTGTAGTTTCTCAAACTATTTTTATCGCTGTATTAGGGATCCAACTTGGGGCCTCTGCTTCTACCTCCCAAGTATTGTACTATTTTCTGCCTGCTGCCCATGGACCAAGATGTACTCTCAGGTACTGCTGCAGTGCCATGCCTGCCTGCATGCTGCCATGCTCCCTGTCATGATGATAATGGACTGACCCTCTCATACTGTAATTGAACCTCCAATAACACACTCTTTTGTAAGAGTTGCTTTAGTCATGGTGTTTCTCCACAGCAACAAAACAATGACTAGGAGACAATGGCCTTCAACTACATACTTAGAGTCTGTAGCTTTTCTCTCTGCACATAGGGGTTTCAAAGTAAGTTTTATGAAGTGAGTTTATTGTATAAGTTTATTTTCTAGTGTGCACCACAGAAGAAAACAGTATAATGCCTATGTCATTCTGCATGCTAGAACATGGACCATTGTTCCATGTATGTGCATGCACTGAAGGGTCTGTGGTACACAATCAGTTCATTTTGGGGGCTTTCATGTTTTCTTGTTTTAAACCATTCTGGCCTGAGAAGGGGAACAGTATTTGAACAGCCAAGTACAAGCTTAGCAGTATGGGAAATGTTTGGTAAGTAACTTAAGGGTTTTATCTCTTCAGCCCCATCTTTCCTGGTTCTCCCAGTAAATCTTGAGAAATAATGCTGATTTAGCCCCCCTAATCTTGGTAATCTTGGTCATACAGATTACATGTGTATAGACAGCAACAGTAAAGGTGCCACACATGATACATGAAGGTATGTACTATAAACCCTGATGCAGCAGTAGCTATCCTAGTCCTGCTGACTTCCCTGTCCCAGATCCCTAGGCAACTTGGCATCAGTTCTCTATAGACCCACAGGCTGGGCCCATGCCTGCTATGCACCTCACAGAGGAAGCAGCACTCTGGGAGAAGCTTGTCTGCTTCTTAGATACAACCTTGGGCAGGACATCTCTTAGATCACAGGTTTTCCTTTCTGTGAAGCGAGAAGAACATCTATGATTTCTTATCTTCTGTTAGGGGAAGCAAGAGGAATCAAACACTGTATTTTGGCACCCAGCATACTCTGGTTGCTGCTGTTGGTGACTGATGCCAGGCAACAAGAACAGGAAGAGCCAAGGGTACCTCTTTGTGTGATCAGCAGTGGGGAGACACCATCCCGGAGCTCAGCCCTGTGTTGGTGTCATAGATAACAAACCCCACCTGCTGTGACGGGCACAGAGGCCCACACCTGCACTGTGAGTGGCTGACTCCACATACATGCTCCAGCTGTAACTGTTCCCATGAGGTCACTTCTGGCATGTCTATGGCTGTGCTGCCTCCAGCTCCGTACACCCTTCCTAGCTCTAGGATGGTTCAGCTTCTCTTTCTCCTAACCTGGGGCTTTACAAGGGACAAGGAAGTCATTCTTTATTCTGACCTGGCAGCATCTGCATTTGCAGGAGGCCTGAAGGTGCTCACTCTCTGTCAGGGATGGCTCTTAGGTAACACTGTAGTTAGTCTGCAGAACTTGCAACAGTTCTAAGCACAGACAGAAAGTGCCATTTCAAAAGTGCTGGGAAGTGCTGATGCTGGTTTGAAGTTGTCAGGGGCTGCTGGGAAATATTCCATCTGCTTACTCAGGGGGGAAGGAAGAAGAGAAGAACTAACCAGATGGAGGGATGGATTAATTAAACATGGGACTTTGTCCAGAATCCCTTGCTCCGCCCCCCACCCCCAACCCCACCCTGCACCACCAAGGGTGGTGCACTTGGATCCCCTGCCCTGCAGAGGGCTCACAATACAAGCTGCATCCTGAGAAGCAGTTGAAGGCCAAGAGTGAGGGCCGAGGCACAGAGACTAGGACAGAGCAAGGAGAGGGAGCAGAGCGGAACGCCGCTCTGTTTGAGTTCCGTGCTTAGGCTCTAAGAACGCTTGCCCAGCCACCCAGGACTCTGCTCAGCTCTCCCATCTTGTCCTTGGCTTCAGAGAATCCCAGGCTGACTGTGCTGCTAACCTGACATAATAAGAAACCAAGACGGTATTTCTGACACAGTGGCTTTAGTGGCACTGGGATGCCTTCTAGCAGCATCCAAGATGGGGGATGGAGGCACTGGAGGATGACTGGATGACCTTCCCCATGGTTCATGCAGTGGGAATTAGTGTTGTCCAATGGCAAGTACATCATCTGCCTAAAGATACAGACATTGCAATGACACCCAGAAGGCAACATGTGTGCAGATGCAGACACAAGGGTACCCACTGACCTATCTTCTACTCCCATCTTCTGAGCAGTGAGTTCTTCTGGGGGTAATGGCTGGCTCTGCTGGCAGGTGCCTATTCTTTCAGCTGGGTAGGATTACGTAGTTTGGATAGTTATATGATGATACCAGAATACACTGTTCTCAAGTCTAGGCTGGGCCTACTGGTTATTGAGGATAATTTCCCAGAGTGGTAACAACTGTCTTTCACTAATCTTTCCCCACTGTAGACATGTTAAAGTTGACTATGTATGTAAGTTACTTGGAGTGAGCTGGCAGAGTTCCCTAGGCCTCAGCTTCTGTAGTGCATAGTAATGAAAGCACACTCTTCAGGTTGTGATGAGGGTTAAGTAGGAATGGCACATGCTGGTCCCCAGAAGTCTAACAGTCTAATGCAGCAGGTGCCCAAATGTGAGCTGCTATCATCACCGCCATCACCACCACCACCTTTCATCATCATCATCATCACCACCACCACCACCACCGTCATCATCAAGTCACAGTCCCTCCACCTCACTCACCACCACTGTCCCTGTCTCACTAACAACACACACTCAGAGAATCTGGGTCTTTGAAGAAGAGAAAAGGTACTATAAAATTATATTGGGGCCATTTTCTAACAGGGCCACATAACTTTGCATCTGTGTATACCTCCCAACTACACAAGCCACAGGATCACTACAGAAGCAGTAAGCATGGTGGCAGTAGCTATGGAACCACAACCAAGGCCAGAGTCACTGACTCAGATGAGTACTGGGTAGGGTGGGGAGGAGGGTGGAGCCTGAAAAGGAAGGTTTGTTTCCTAACACTTCTTACTCATCATCAACTCTCTTACACCTGCTTTATTTTCATGCATGTGTGTATGATTGTGTATGTATGGTGTGATTCACACATTTATGTGTGTAAATGTTCATGAGTGTGTCTCATGAAGAAATGTGGAATCAGAGGATAACTTCAATGTTGGTTCTCACCTTCAAAACCTTCCAGTGTTTGGCACAGGCTTTCTGTATACCAGGCTACCTGGCCTGTGACACTGGAGCTTTCTGTATATCAGGCTATCTGGTCTACATTTCAAGGACTCTCTTCTCTCTTCCTCACACTTCACTGTAGGAATACTGGGGTTATAGGCTTGTGCTATTGAACTTGGCTTTATGTGGGTTCTGGGGGTTCAAACTCAGGTCCTTACACTTTCACAGTACATGCTTTGAGGCATTGCCCCAGCCCTCTATACAAGTTCCTTTCTATTATATTTAAGGCCGAAAGAGACTTTGGGGGGTGGATATTTTGTGTGTGTGTGCCAGGGATTTTCTCACATGGTAGCAAAAATGTTGAGCACCCCCTGAATGGGAAACCTGAGCTAGAAAGTCTGCCACCACTGCTCAGCATGTAGATGGTGCTTTCCCCTGAGTGAGGGGCTTAGCTTACTTGTTGCTGTCTCGGTACTCATAGATATGGCATCCTTGAGGCAATCCAGTCTCATGGTCCAGAGTAAATGCGAGCTTCAGCTAAACAAAGAGAAAAGAAAAACAAGTGAGTTTTTGGCTCAATGGAATGGAGAAATCAAACAAATCAGCTCTCTCCAGTGGATGTGTTGTGGAAACCTCAGCCTCTCACTGTGGAAGAAGAGCCATCATCACTGGAGCTCTGCCATCCACAGGTACTGTCACCAGGAGCATCTTATGCACTGGCCATGTAATCTATACTCATGAAGCACGTTTATACCTGCCTCTGAGCCAGTAGAGGACACAGGAGCACTACAGAGTGGGGTCACCTTCGTGGAGCCTGCTGTCTATCACAAGAGCAAATCTCTATTCTAAGAGACATCCAGGTATATGTAGAAGTTTGAACTGAAGAGCGCCCTTGGAACCTTACGGGAGGTAATTTACCAGGTCTCTAGAGAAGTAAATGAGCTGACCTAGACAGAACAGGGCTGTGGGACGGAGGGGCGATGCCACCACAGGTGAAGGGACAGACAGTTGTCCTGGGCAGAAGTCACAGCATGTCCACAGGTCCTGAGCAGGAGCTGCAGGAACTGAAGGATGACTATGGAAGCTGGGTTCAATAGCTACAAGGATCACAGTGGGCAGTCACACCTGCGGGAGGAAAGCCAGGCAAAATATGCATGGCACTCTGATCTTTGCCTTAACTACACAGGAAGGCTCCTGATCTGCTCTAAGAAAGGGGTGGATGATGTCACCACAGTTTTGTTTGGGAAGACCCTCTAGCTGGCTACTATGCTGTCTGCAGGAAGAGGAGAGAAATGGGAGCCTACACAGGGCTGTTCCTGAGACTGAGGGAATGGGAGCGGGACCAGAGGGCAGGAAGGAAAAATGGAGAGAAATAGACACTTGGGAGATCTAACTGGCAGTGAGTTTTAGAAGTAGAATCAACAGCAGATGGATATGGTAGCAGAAAGGAGAACCGAGGTTCAAGGTTTTGAACAGCCAGTTAGGTTCAGTTATAGTAAGTATTATACTGCTGGGAAAGAAGGGAGTTCAGGTTTTGGTTAGGGGCATGTTGACCTGGAGACCCCATTAGTGACGATGAAAACAGGAACCTGATGAGTCCTGGTTTCTTCTGGGATGTTGGCAAGGAGGCCTCATGTGAATACAGAGCTTCACAGGGCTCAGACAGGTTTACTATCTGTCTTGCTGGAGCCCAGGGCTCAGGGAGCTTGAACATTTCCAGTGTGGAGCCAATTACTATCTCTAAAAATTCCCTGGGCTTTTAAATCACCAGGGAAAACTTAGCTACATTAACTACATGTTAGGGGATACATTATTATGATTATTTGTCCTGTAGGGTTGTTAACACAACTAATGATTTGCACCATTAGATACTGGACAATTTTTCTCTCCCTCAGATCAAAGCACACTCTTGGGAATGGTCTGTCCTCTTACTGACCCAGATGAACATTCAAACTAGAAACAAATGCTTCTTTACCACAACAAAGCCAGGAACTTCACTGGAGTCAAAGGCATGCTTTTCTTACAGAGTATACCTTGGCTCTAACCAGGCCTCAGTTTCAGTTAAATAAAAAAGAATTTAGTTTAGCTACTATGGAAATCAGTGTGGAGGCTTCTCCAGAGAGAGAGAGAGAGAGAGAGAGAGAGAGAGAGAGAGAGAGAGAAATAGCACTATCCTTTGATCTGGTTCTACCACCTCTGGACATCTGTCAAGATCAGCACAACAGACATCTGTACCAATGAAGTACACACTTCTGCTACAGACCTAGCCTAGATGTCATCAAGAGAAGAATGGATACAGAAAATGTGGTACATACACAGAGTAGAGCTTTATTCAGCAAAAGAAAGAATGAGAGGTGGGGATTTGCCCAGTGGTTAAAGCACTAAAGTATGAGGACCAGAGTTGGTCCCTAGAACCCACATAAATACCTGTAATTCTAATCCTGGAGAGGAGAGAGGGGCATCTCCAGAGCAAGCTGGATTGAAAGACTGGCTGTATCAGTGAACACTGGGTTTGATGGGAGACTGTACCTCAAAGAAAAAAGTGGAAAAGCAACTGAGGATGACTCCTAAGCCTCCGCACGCACACGTCCACCCACACACGTATAAGCACAGTGGAAAATGGAAAAAGGACAAGAATAAAAATTTGTCATTTGAAGGGAAAATAGATATTAAGTAAAATAAGCTGGACCTGGACAGATATATTCTGTCTCATGCATGGAATCTAGAAAAAGAGACTTAGAATAGCGGCGGTTCTATTTTGGATGGGCTAGGGGAGTGGGGACAAGAGGAAGTAGTGGGGATGACCGTCAGAGTGCAAGTACGTGTGTAGAAAGGATAACACAAACCCATCGTTTTGTATAATTAGTACGTAAATACAGAGGTGTGGTTTTACATGTCTTTGGTTACTGCACTAGATGCTGAGGTAGAAGGAAGGAACCAAGTTCAGGGCCATCCTGGGTCACCTCCTGAAATTCTGTGTCAAAAAGAAATGACCCCTAAAGCAAAAGAATCCACTGCATAGCAGATCAATGGCAACAACAACATTTAATCACAACTATAACCGTTTGCCCCTACTTCTTTCTTTCTAGCTGAGGCAGTATATTGATTTTGTCCATTAAAAATGAAAGAACAACAAACACAAAAAAAATCTACATTCTTAGAAATTTTTGTATCTTCTGCCTCAGTATTTTAAGCTATGAATTCATGGCTTAGAGAAAGGTTTCACTGCAAAACTGCTTCAGTATCAGTACTCCATTGACTCTAAACGACCAGCAATGGTGGCAAAAGTCAGAGACAATGGCAGGTCCCACAGCAGTCCATGTGGGAGAGCAGGTGGTCGTGACGGGATGACAGCCCAGTTGGAGGGATTCTTCACTTTATCGGCATTTTCTAGATTCCTCAGGACAAGGTAGCTCTATTTTGATTTTGAGTAAAAACTAGCATGCCCCCAGTCCTGTTTTATATTTTTCTGTTTCCCCCTCTGTATCTTGAAAGGGGGAACGGGATCAAGGAGGACAGGACAGCAGGCTGCTTCAGGGAGGCAGGAGGGGTGAGCTAATAGGGCGAGCTGCATGGAAGAATTCACATGGTCAGAAAGGGAAACCACAGCAGGTGTCAGAGGAAAAGGCACCTGGTGGTCAGGGAGAGATGGGCTAAACTGAAGGCAAGCTTGCAGGTGAAGAGCTTTGGGCAAGGCCATAATGGCAGACTAAAAAGAAAAGGCCTGGGCCTCAGACAGAGTTGTGGGGATGGGAGCATCCAGAGACAGCTTAGAGAGAAGACACATCGGATCCTGTAATGGCGACTCCAGAATCTGCCTAACCCCAAAAGTAAAAAAAGGAGGGATGAAACAGGCACTGTGGTCCTCAGTCAGGAAGACACTGGTAAATGTGATGGGGGAGGGTGCTTCAAGGTCAGGAAACTATAGAAACAGCAACTTAACAATAAGAGAAGTCAGAGTGGTGGGAAGGAGGGACAGAGGGGCACTCAGTTATTGAGTATTTATTTAAGTACTTGTATTATCAAATGTACACCAAGTGAAGAAGGCTTTCCTTTATCCTGATGACCACTTGAAATAGGTATTATAATTTCCTTTTAATAGATGCAGAACTTGGGGCTGATAAAGATTAAGAATTTACCTGAGTTCAGTAATGAGCGCCCATAGTCTTTGCATTCAGGATTCTGAGACAGAAGGGTCATAGTTTTAAGGACAACCTGGGCTACATATTGAGATCCTGTTGAGGCAGGTGTGTGTGTGTGTGTGTGTGTGTGTGTGTACGTGTACGGAGATAGCTCAGTTGAGAGAGGTTAAGGAGATAGCTAGTTGGTAAAGTACTTGCCATACAAGCAGAAGGACCTGAGTTTGATTCCCAAAATCCATATTTTTAAAAGCTAGGCATACCGTGCATCTGTGAGCATGCCTGTAATAGTGTTGGGGAGGCAGAGACAAGCAGATCCTGGGACTCAATAGCCAGTCACTCTAGCTTTCTTGAACCCAGAACAGTGAGAGACAGCAACAACAAGAAGCAATGGATAACACCTGAGGAACTACCCCTGAGGTTGTTTGGCTTCCACATACAAGAACATCTACATGTACACATATACCTACATATACACAAACACACGTGTACACACACATACACTCACACAAACAAATCCTTAAGTAATTTGTCTACAGCACAATAGAACCAGAGTTTTTACTCAAACTCCTGCTTTTTGCCTATTGCTAGTATTACGGAACTTTGCTAGTCTGGATATGAAGGGGGAAAGGAGGTGTCACAAACACAGTTACAGATTCTCTGCCTCAGACAGCGGGACAGATGGTGAGGCTACCACTGCAGGCGATGCAGGAGGGTAAGCTTGGGAGGTGAGCAGGGATGGCCGGAAGGCTGCTGTATGTACGGTCATGAGGTTTCCAAGTGTATGTGCAGGTTTCATCTGGCAAGATGAGAGCTTGCTGGAGTGGGTGAGACCATCTTGAGAGAGTTTGTGGAAGGAAGAAGATCCTAGACAGAGAAGATCCTTTGGAGACAAAGAACACCTCCTTGAGAGAGCTGGGAGCAGAGACCAGGAAGGGTGGCTGTGGGTCTTGATTTATGTCTTGAAGAAGCTAAGGGGAAATAAATATGCCTTAAGGAAAGAAGAGCCAAGCCAGTTTGTTACACCCTCCTAAAATGCCACATATAAGAGGAGTGTGTGTCCCAACAGGGACCCCACTGGACCTGGCAGAATGGACTGCAGGAGAGTAGTAGTGAGAGCAGAGGTGGGTACGAGACAGACTGAAAAGCGAGAAGCAAGGAAACAGAGGTCGAAATAGCTTTAGACAGCTGTAGGGAGGAGACAATCAAGACCACAGTGGGGCAGCACAGAGAGTGAGAGAGTGAAGGGAGACCA